TTGAACTGCCCCCAGGGAGCGCAAACGTAGCAGCGGGCTTTGCGAACCCAGGGGAACGTCCTTGGTCTCTATTTGGCTGTTCGGCGCAGCTTCCGTTTCGCTGCTGGAAGGCGCGGGAGTTTTGCGCGTTCGTGGATCACCAAGCCACTTACTTTCCTGGGCACTGTCCAACGGTGGCGCGAGCCGGTTCCCGCCCGACGCAGCAACGCCAGCTTCGTACATCTCCGGTACACCAGCCGGACCATACGTACACACTTCGCGGGGCAAGGCTACACGTGGTCGGGCGGACTGCCTCTCCAGAGCGGTCATCGGAGCTGTGCAGCCTGGGCCTCGATTACCTCAACGGCATGGGCCGACCAGGCCTCCTGACCACGGGGTCCAGACCCTCAAAGGGCCTCGGTACCCCCACGGATTGCGACTGGAGGAGGGTCAGCGGTCGGTGACTCGGGCGCGAAGCTGTGGTGTGAGCATCTCCCACGGCCAGCTCGACCGTAGTCGCGTACGGACCGGCGCCGACCCGTTTTTTTTGAAGGGCGGTTCACAATCTTTTCCCCACCCCGGGATAGGAAACGTGCCGTCGAAAGTTGGTGTCGCAGAAGTTCGTGTGGCAGGGGCCTTAAGAAAGGACGTGAAGTCGCTGGGTCGACGGCATGCGTGGCTTGTCCAACGGGGCCTAAAGTCGCACCGCATACTAGGGCCCTCTTTTGAACTGTTTTTGCGGTTTTCCCTGAGAGGCCCGGTTTTGACGCATTGCAGTCCGATCGCTCAGTAGGTGGGCTTCGCCCCCTGCTCACGGTTTTCAACCTTACTGTTTTACGATGGGTGGAGCAAGGAACGAACGCGCGCTGGCCGAGGCGCGTTTCGCGCATTCACTCCGACCGTCAGCTTGCGGCCGACGTCGCGCCGCGGGTTTCATCGGCAACGTGGGGGCGCGCTCGGGAACCCCGTCTGACCTCTGCCTCCTGACCGCGGTTTCTCAGTTGCACCTCGGAGCTGTGAGACGGCTGTTGCTGTGGGTTTGGGGGTCAAGCTGGCACCGCACGCCACCGCATATCAACCGACGCCAGGCTAACGGATTGTGTTTGAGGCGGTTTTTCAACCGAAGATCCAATGAAGGCGTCACGTGCGTGCCGGATTGAACAGACGGCAAACTGGGTGGATAAGCTCCCGTGGGGTTATGCTCCGGCCTCAGGTGGTGGCCCAAGGAAAGGACCTGCAGTTCTCTCCGTCGGCGGAGCTCGTCTGATGCCCAGACGCTACGGGTCCCGGCGGGGAATTCATCCCAGCCGCCAACTGGTGCCCGCTGGTTCCTGGCAGCCGGGCAGCGCGCTCCTCGCCTGCCTGGAGAACCGGCCGGGAAACATTCCAGCCCGTCCTCCCACGTCGCAGCACAGCAAACGGCCAGCTTTACGGGTGTCCGCCCGGATTACGGTCGGCGGATTTCGTTTTTATTCGCCAACGACGCTCACCGCGGTCCCCTGCGCCCCCTTACGAACGGTCCGTTCAGGGTTCATAACGTCACGGTGGAACAAGAGCCCTGGTGGTGGACGTTGGTGGCAGGCCTGAAGACTGTGGTCCGTTGATCGGATTAAGCGCCTCTCACGTGGACCGTTTCCAGGCCCGTTGGAGTTTGGCTCTGCCCCCACGTCGGGGACGGCCCTCCCATTGTCCCACGCCCTCTGTGGGGATGCCCTCGCCTCCGGTGGCGCCCCCTCGCCCATGCTTCCGCACTGCGGCCCCGCCCTCGCTCGGCCCGCGTGTGTCCGTACGCGCCGGGGTCGGGCGGTACTTCCTCCCAGGCGCGAGGGTTTTGACTATGGGTGAAGTTCTGGGGGGGCTTGTGTGGTGATTGACATTATTCACCCACGGAACGTATGGGTTGGGGTAGTTGTTCCGCACGGACATAGTGAGTTGACCGGACCCTTGTTTCCCCCGGTCTGTTCTTCCCGGGCTGAAAGCTGTTTTACATGTTGACCTGATGTTAAATAAAAGTCTAGCTTGTACCTTCGATACCCCGCCTCCGACTCCCGTCTCTCGGCACTACAAACATTAACAATGCATCAATTTCTACAGGCTGGGTTTTCTACACATGTAATATGCAAAGTAGCCTAGGCCAACCATTGTAGCTAAAAGTACATTTTTTATCCTAAAAATGTAGTGCTGTAGAACTTTAAAACGTCCCTCATGTGTTATTTACATAATTTTTCTGACAAAAAACGCCTATTATTAACATGCATTTGTGCCTAGTAAGCTAAAGAAGATAGCTGTTTGCTAGCTTCTACCACAAAGCTAACTAGCATGAGCAGTCGGCAAACTTAGTTTAGCATTAATGGGAAAGGGCTACAATGACTCTGTCAAAAGCAAACAACATTTTCCTAACAGTTATTCTGAAACGCCCAAGTCAATTTGCTCAATTGGTGCCCGAAAACACCTGAGTGAGGAATACCGGTAGGTACTAGGTGTGTGAACCGAGGGGGTCGCTCTTGCATGTCTGTTAACGCTTCTAAGCTAGCAAAGTTCACTTAACATAGATTCATAAATATACAACATCACATCAGGCTCCTTAGTTATTTTATGTAAACTTTTTAAAAATATGAAGTTCATAAATGACATTAAAATGCATTAACATCCTTAAAATTGACACATTTGTTTTCCCCAATAAAAGTTGTAATAAAAATCCAAGGAGACTTTTTTTATCCAAGATGTAACACTTTAGTATCATTTCAAAGAAGATGCATTGATCACACATTTTCTGAGACTTAAAACGAGAGACTATGGTCAACCTGTTTTTATGTCTTTATTTCTGTTGTCATTATCCTGTAGGATAATTTGTCATCAGTACATCTCAAACATGGGAACGTTTGCACACATCTACATGGTATTTTAAATACACTTACACAGGCAAAGAGGGGCAGAGGAAGAGGGAGAGCAAGAATAGAGGAAGCACAGAGACACACTGCAGAGGTAACTTACACCGGGGGAGGAGGGAAAGGGAGGCAGAGAAGTTTTACAATGGTGAGCAGAAAATATGCTCAAACTGTTTTTTTTTTTATTCTTTTTTTTTTAAATGAATTCTAACAGCTGAGGGTGAATCCCATTCTTCACATCTTTGTCGTTTCGGCTTAGTTACTGGTTTAATCGCACAAGATAGCTGCTCTCTTAATGGAATGTCGTCATATAAAGCTTATTTTTTTCCCACTTTTCAAACAAACTTTGCCCATTCAAATACATTGTACAGCCCAGTCTCTGCAAAGGGAGAAGCAGGGGGACAGTTTTGGGATTAGACCTAAAAGTATAGACACTAGAATGCATCGTGGCCATTTACACTCACACTGAAAACTTTAAGATTGCACCAAATAGATCTAATTTATTATAATGTATTTGCCATGCCAGCATAACAGCATTGTTGAAGCCTAAAATAATCACAACCGAAGGAAAAGAGCAGCCAAATGATTGCGGAAAATAAAAGACAAATCTATTGGAAAGCTAGTCTTTCAGCGCTTGACTCGACATAACTGCAGTGGTTATCCACATTTAAGTGCTAATAAGCCAGTGCAGCCACAGGGAACATACAAAACTTCCACTACAGTGACATATATATAAAAAGAAAACATTTTTTTTCAACAATCAAATAGGAAATCATAAGATTAAATCCAACCAACGCACAAATAAAAATGTCATGTCACATGTTAGCAGACATGCTAATCAGCCATTCTTTTGCAGGTACAAGCCATTACATTTCTGTAAGTTTAGTATCTCACACAGTCGTTTCTTTAAGACTATTTCTTCCATTCAGTACCATCAATTCTGAATGAACATAATGCATGACCTCATCTCACCGTTTATCCACATACATGTGGACTGTGATGCTTTTCACGCACAAAAAACACTGTACAATCGTAAAACAGCCTTCTTAGACAAACCGTAGCACTCCACTTATTTAAAATGAAACTGAAAAGTCCATACTGGAGTGACAAATGAGAAAAAAAGAATGATCGGGTGTTTGAATGAATTATAATCTAAGGATTCCGTTTTTAAAATCCCACTGCAAGGTCTGGAGGGGTCGCTGATGGACGATCTGCTACAACTGTGGGGTCGAGTGTTGCAGTGAAGGATCTTGGGAGAACACTGGACGAGTGATTGATGGGAAGAGGAGTGATAGTGTGGATTTTGGAGGGTATCCGAAGCGGAGGTATCTCGCTCATAAGCCCTGCTTGGCCAGGGCAGCGGTGACATCCTGGGCCAGCGTGACGAGGTGGGGCGACTCCAGCATGTTGATGCTTCCGGTGGAGGAGAGGCGGGGGGACATCCCTCCCGTCTCCATCCCCGGGGAGTGGGTGACCACGATTTCCGCGCCGTGATCCACTCGCGCTTTGGCTTGTTCCCGGAAGTTCAGCTTGTGGCTCTCGATCTGCCAGGAAAAAGATCAGGGGTGTTAAAGAAAGAAATGTTATATATATTTTTTTCAATTGTTCTTAATATTTTTTTATCAGACTATCTTTTGTTTCATTTCTTTGCTTTTATTTTTAAATTTTATTATATATATTCTCTAGCGGTTTTTTAACTTCAGATACTTATGTAGGTTTCATTATGCACATGTTGGGTAGGGCTATACAAATAAAGCTTTATGACTGCTAGAAGGGTCTTTTTACCATGATATTCCCGCCTCCTGGAGTGTGGCTGGTGTTGCTCAGTGAGCCGACCTTGGAATGGGCCTTGTCTTTAAAGTCCAGCTTCACATTGTCGATGCGCACTTGACCTCCCCCTGGGAACAGGACAGAATGAGAAGAGGAGCATCACACCCTGCAGGCAACACTCAGGGCAAAGAATCTAAGTGTGCACAGTAGGACAACAGCATCTATTCACTTTCTTTAATCAGACAGTATCATTAAGGCCACAGTAGAAATCATGATAATAATATCAATAGGAACATTTTCACATTTCAACAAAAGTCAAAGATATGCAAAATAAAATAAAAATACTAATCAACCGCATTTCTGCATTAATGTGACCCAACTCTTAAAGGCATACTTTGAAAGTGGGGTTGTTTGAGGTACAGCAAGGGTATTTCCTTATTTTGTAATGTGTTGCTATCCTCAATCTACATTCTAATTTTCACATTAAGTCGCACTAAGACATTCTTGTAACATAAAATTGAATACTTTTAACCTGTTCAAGTATTTTCTTCCATAAGAACCGTTTTAATCTTAAACAAAACTGTGCCTACTACTAAAAAAGAGCGTAATTAATATTGGACAATCAAACAACTAGTGTCAATGTTCCTTTTCCTCGAATAACATACCTGGTCTGTGGCGGATGTTGGACATGGAGCCACATTTGGCGGTGACGTGGCTCACGTCGATCTTCTTGGTCTGGATTTGGATCTGTGGGTAGCAGCAGAAGCACATATTAAAGCGCATAATAGGAGCCTTTAACATATGTTACCTTCATAAATAAAAATTACTTGTTTTGGGGGTTTTTTTTAACCAGAGAAACATGGTGAAAGCAGATGCTTTAAATAAACGTTATTGTCCATGGATGAAATTAATTACTGTGAGTAAAGCAAAGATACACAGTGCATGCTGTAGAGACGTGTTTACACTAAGATTGTACTATGAGTGCCTAGAGCAAATATCAAACAGGATATTTCTGGTGCAAAAGCTGATGGGAAATTAGATTCAGTGGGACACAAAAACAACTATAAATCACATGGCTAAATGATGAAATTGAATGTGTTGTAACTCACGTTTCCCCCGCCTGCTGCGTGCTGGATTTTGTCCAGGGAGCCACACTTAGCCTGAACGTGGCTAAAGTCCAGTTTAACACTTGGAATCATGACCTGGGAATGACAGGGTGAGCAAAACACTCAGTTCAAACTGGATAGGAGGAGCTTAAAATGCACTCCTGTTCAAAATAATCCCATAAAAGTGTCCCAATTTTAAATCCACGACCTAACAATCCCTCTGCAACGACTTCAGCGCAGGGGAATTTCTAAACCACAGACACAAGCCTTTCAGTTTTGGAGTTCATGCAGGGTTAAAGACATCAGAAGCTGCACATTTAGCGATGTAATCCACACAGTCTTGATCAAATATATATTCTTAGTTGGTATGGAATGTCACCGAAACAAGCCAAAGATAGACAAGCTGATGTGCAGACAGATGAACGTATAAAAGTAGAATGAGAGAACAACAGCCCCCGCTGAAAAGAGAGAGAGAGAAAGAAAGGAGAGAGGAAAGGAGAAAGAGAAGCGAAAGTTTACATACATTGCCTCCTTTGGGCGTGTGCCTCAGATTATCCTTGGAGCGGCACTTTGGCTGAACATGACTGAAGTCCACCTTCTCGTTTAAAATTTGAACCTAAAACAAAATCAAATAAATAAAAAAAACACTATATGTGCCTCTTTTAGATTACTGTGGGGTGGAGTGATACATGTACATGCATTTACATGAACAGATGCAAATTAATGTGAAAATGGCGAAATTGCAGTTTAATACAACCAATGGCAGTATTTCAGCCTTTGTGCCCCATTTTGTGTTGTTTTGTTAAATATAAAATACATAAAAATACACATACACCATTGTTACAAGTGCTAAAGTGAACACAGAGGGAGGGAGGAATAAAAAGGAGGGGGGGAAACACACGCCGCCGCCTCCGTCTCCTCGACACTGATCTGACCTGGATTCTTTTGACAGCTCCTCCTCTCACATGCACGCACACATATGGACACTGCTCTTTTTATCCATCTCTCATGTTTTTCTTTCCTTTTTTTGAGGTTCTTACGCTGCTCTCTGCAGCTGCTGCAGGACAGACAGCTGCAAGGTCAACCAAGGACAATGCACTGGACCCACTCACTAAGAATACAAATTGTGGATCTTTTCTAGTTTTCTTCTGAAATAGCAATCTATATTAAAATTACAATATATTAATCGATATAAATACAAATTATTAAATTAAAATGTTTTATGTTGCTGAGAAAAAATAAGCAATAAAAGTATTTTAACTTTTGGCTTAGTGATTTTAACTATTGTCTAATTTCTTTTTTTTTATATTTCACACATTTTCTAAACTGAAATTGGCATTACAGCTTTTATAAATAATTAAAATATAAGATACTAACAGATGAAAATTACAGCAAAATATATCCTAAACATTCAATTATTTAAAAATAATAAAATATATGTAGAAATATTTAATTAAAAAAACTAACATTTTAATGATAAGATAAAATGACATTATTATGATTGTAAAAATGTCATAAAATGCTATTTTAAAGTATGAAATATATTTGTATTCTAGATTTTTTTTAAATAAAATGCCTGAAAATATGCTGTTTGTTACTCAGCTTCATTGCACATGTCTACGTCTCTTTTTTCCCCCAAAGATGAAGGAAGAACTTCCTGCAAACAACTCCTTACTCAAAAGTCTCGCTGAACACTGTCTGTTGCCCTGGTTATGTTTTTACAAACCATATAGATAAAGATAAGAGGAGTAATAAGTCCAGTGTGTGTTAAATCATTAATATTGGAGGAAACCATGCATGATGCAAGAACTTAAGGGCAGCTCTTTTAACATTCATCACCCTATTCAGGATCTGTTGTGTGAGGTGATGTGTTTTCATCCTGTGTCTTGAATGCAACTTCTCAATAAGTAATTACGTCCGCTTGCAATTATTAATACAGAGAGCCGGAGGGACAATCCTGCACGGCGATGACGATAGCAGATCCCCTGAGAAAGGATTCTGCAGGTTGACTGCTCCTCGGAGGCACTAAAAGGAACGTTTTTCAGAGGAAAGCTGTTTCAAGATGAAGACGGTGTGCATATTCTTTAAATAGGCATTGAGACATGTGAGACAGGTAAAGAGAAGGAAAAAGGGGAAGTCAGGGCAAGAGGCCGCAGGCAGCCGATGACGGAGAGGATGGTGAGAGGAAGTGACGGCAGCAGTTAGAGGCAGAGAGTGATCGTGAAGATGTGAAGACAGATATTTGACGACATTTCAACAACTCAGGGGAAGAGACACAGAAGAAGAGGGTTGTTACATGCTGAAAAATAGTGGAATCAAATATCGAGTAAACTAGATAAAACTAGCTGAAACTGCAAACTCTTATACGTTAATATTCACATAAATGACATAATAATTCCTTTTATTTTTAAATGTTTCTGTCTTTTTATGTGTTTTATTGTATCTGTTAAGAGTTCATTGCATTGCATATTCTATGTAAAAAATCCTTTATGGATGTTAATATTGTACAGAAAGATTAACCAAGGTATACAAATATTTTCTGAAATAATATATACCTCTCTACATGTGCTACTACAGTTTAAATGTAATAGAATGATTCCTTTTGCACACAAAAATAAGCTTTTTTATTGAAAGATTTGACATACATTTGTCCTTTACCGCCCCCATGTGGGCAAAATAGGTAACTGCACTGAAATACTTAATTATCTAGAAATCGTCAGAAATATACAAATGTATATGTTTTTGTCAATGTTTTTTTCAATGGATGACTATACAGATTGTATGTCCTTATTTTGGAGAATTAAACAGAACACTGCACAAAATCTCGGATGTCATTAGTCAACTAGGAGGTAAATATGTCAACAAAATACATATGTATATCAATCTGTCTTTGTATCTGCTGTTTATTGACTGTTAATATATATACATATATATCTTAGTAGCTTTTGTACCTGTCAAAGTGAAAATGGGATCCTTTTATTTAGAAAATCTTCCCAACATCTGCATCCTTTTAGTCCCCTAAACATGAGACGTTCTTTTGGAATCCTAAAAATAATGTCATAGTTCAATAACATCCTGACCCCTGTCTCTGTTACCTGTCCCCCTTTGGGCTGGTGCTTGAGGTTGGAGGTGGACCCGATCTTGGACTTAACGTTCGTCAGATCGGGCAGCGGCTGATTGAGCACCTTCAGCTGCCGTTGGATGGAGGACGGAGACTTGGGCGGGGTCCGGATCACCGCCACCTTCTTCTCCTGGAGGATGCTGAAGGACTTGGGCGTGTGGCTGCCGGGGGTGCGAGAGCCAGGGGTGCGGCATGAGTAGGCTGGGGGGGAGCCGGGGGTCACGGCGGTGGAGCCGGGGGTGGAGGCGCCGCTGCGGACTGATCGGGAACGTGCAGACTCTGTGCCTGGAGGTTACAGACGGAAAATTCTGGATTAGAGTGAGGAAAAGAAGAACGATGAAGATTCGAAAAAACCTTTCTGGAAGAAGATCGATGGGAGAAAATATGGATCAGCACAAAAAACCATCAACAGGTTGAACAAGGAGATGTGTGAAAGCACACACAGGCAGCTGCATTCATTTAACGCCGGCACCTTGTTGCTGGGTTACAGGTGCAGGACCAATAGGATTTTAGTCAACAACATCCTGAATAAGAACAAAGAGCAGCGACCTGTTGTTATGGATACCACCTGTACCTCTGATGAGGTCACTGCAGGTTTGACAAAACCACATTTAACACATTCAAAGAGAATGAATGAAATAAAGACAATTATAGGAACACAATACAATAAAGAGCGCACCAATTCACCTAAGTTAGGAATAATTAACCTAGTTAAGAAAAGTACACTGAACCTAATAGAGGTATGTCTTCTAAATACTTCCAAGGGGTGCATCATTAGTACTTATTGATTATAACTGCTGATAAAATATACTAAAATAAATGTAAGTGTATTATTGAGACAGCTTTAAAATGCATAATTTTAATGCCATACTTTTATAGATATATTGTATTTACTCTCTTCAATTATATATGAATCCATTATTAATTATTTACTCAGAGGCAATCGAATCTATTCATGTTTTATTCATTTCGTATAATGCAATCAAAGTGTGTGGAAATTACATTTTAAATAACATTTGTATGACTTTGAAGTTGTACAAAATGTAATTCAAATTCACTTTTTTGTCACATAAAGTTGGAATAAAGAGTGTTTTAGTGCTTATTATATAATTATTTGTTTTACTTTAGTACATTGGTCTCACAATAATACAGTCAAGCACACTTTATAGAGTTTTTGAATGTTTTAAGTAGCACTCATGATATACCATTAGCACACTGAACGCTCAAATATACACAATTAGTATATTAATAATGAGTATATTAGATGAAGCATATTTCATAGTACTTTTTAAAACCAGGGTTAGGTCTACTCAGTTTTACTTTATTGTATTTAGTTCCTTATTTTGTATCTTTTTTTATGTCTTCTTTTAAATGGGAAGAAAACCGAGGTTCTGGCAAATCAGGAATCTTTTGTTAAGAGGGAAAGGCAATAGAAGGGGATCATTTGATAATAAATAGTGTTTTCAAACCTGCAGACACCCCTGTGTGACCAAGACGAATGAATGAATGTGTCATCAACGGATGGTAATACAGAATGATAGTGACAGTCCTTATTTTGATGTTTCTAAAGACGAAAAACACTTTATCTACAAACTAGATGCCATACGTTGACGAGGAGGGTGTGATGGGATCTAACAGCTACTATCAGATCTACTAGGTGGTCTACCTGCCATACCAGGGGGTCTTCCAGACCTGTTGTCCGCTCTGGACTGGATCGCTTTGAGAGGCAAAGGGACAAGGAGGAAAAAAGGAGAGAAGTAAACAAGGAGGTCAAGGAGAAAAGAGGAAATGGAGCGTAAGGTAGTTTCATTTGAGAAAAGGAAGTAATTAAGGAGTGCAAGCGATTCAATCTGCTGCTTAAGAGAGAACATTGGGAGGCAAACAAGGTGTGTGGTGTACTTGTGATTGTGTGTGTATTCTTACAGGTTGGCCTGGAGGGGGTGCTGTCATCTTGTTCCGCAGCAGGGATGTGGCGAGTCAGAGATTTAGCCGGCCTGGGGAGGGACGACCTCTTCTCCGGGCTGCGGTATGCTCTCTCCTGAGAGAAAGCAGACACTGAAGGGTCACCCGGGCTCCATTTCTTTTTCATGGACTCTGGCTACCTATCAATCAACCCTAGTTTTACCTTCTCCACCCGATTGTCTATCATAGGGGAACATGCAGAGGAGGGGCGAGGCTCACTGAGCCCCTCCCGCACCAGGGGGCTCCGTTTAAGGCTACAGGCAGAGCCGGCCCGGGGGGGCATGTTATTAGATACCCCGCGCTGAAATGCCATCTTTAACAGAACGGCCCTCGTGGGGCTCTGGACCCCGAAGCCAAGACAAGAGGCAGGAAACATGCATGTGAGGAAGAGGGGACACACAGATGGAGAGATGAAAGGAGACATGCAACGTGTTTTTATATCTGAGATGAATTTAGTTTCACTTATGAGGATTTTCTGTTAAGGAAAACCTGGAAGAGACCGGGATGTTTTTACAAAAGACATGAAACACAATGAGGTTTTCAGATAGAGGGAGGAAATGGTGAAAGATGGATTTCAAGATATTGGTAAGAGCCTATGCACTCTACATCATGAGCATCAAATTGTAAAACCTGCGCCCTTACTAAGCTAGTTTGACTTCTATACTCACAGATCTTCTCTGCCGAGACTGGCATTAGGAAAGAGGTAGGCATGCAAGACAAAATAAACGTGCACACATGCAGAAATAAAAAAGAAAAAGGTCCAGTGTGTCATGCATACAACAAGCCCCAGATGCATAACACTAGCATGATAGCATAATCACAATATCAACATTACTGATGAACATCTTACATACATTTTATTGTGTAAAATTGTTATGAAAGCACCAATAATCAACAATATCCTATTTGTGCAATATCACGATTGAGCATTATTGTTAAAAATATTATTATTTGAAATATTCTCTATGAAACATGCTAATACCGTTGCTAACATCGAGTGTGGTACTTACAGTGGTCCTCTCCCTGGACTGGTGGGCAACACTGAGGGGCATATGGCTTTCCATCCCTGCAAAGAAAAAGCCCTGCGTTAGTCACAATGTAAAGCAACAAGGGAATGACATTTGCGATGAATGTTCACACAAAACACACATTCACATCCAAAGATGTACTCTGAAAAGACAGCCGGAAAACCATTTTTACATTCATAGATTTGTTCACACCAGCGGACCAAGCACAACGCGGCCATATCCAGCAATTCAAAAGTATACAAAAACGAGAAAGAAACAAGAATATGACACCATCCGTTGTTGACATGGATACAATTAGAAAACAAACAAAAGACCAAGCAGTTGAGCTCATACTAAAAAAGACCACAGCACAGAATGTTTGCCAGCTACATTGCACCTTATTGATTTCTCCTAGAGCCATCAATAGAGAGAGAGCAGAGTCAATAAAATGCCTGATATTGTGTGTATCAATTTAACCCCTTAATTGTCCCAGCTTTTTGCAGGGTTCAAAATAAAGAAATCTTCAGGTCGTGATTCTGTTCATCAGAGTTTGGTTGCACTCTCTCTATCCACAGCAGCGATTCCCGGTGAAGAGTGTTCACCTGTGGCCTTGCGTCTGGCAGAGCCGTGAAGCACAGCGGGCCTAGGATGTCTGGCTGCCGCTTTGGCAACACTCTTTCGACATGGAGAGCGACTTTGGAGGGCTGATAGCTTATTCTGCTCAACCCTCCGCACAGCTACTATCAAAAGGGAGAGACAGGATTATACCAACATCCAAACCTTGGTCAAACTTTCTCTACCTTCTACAGAGGTATGAACAATGTACATCTCACTCTTTGTTAGCTAATCAACAATACATAATTGGAACCTTTTTTCTTCTTCATCTCCTCTCTTGGACCATGTGGAAGGTGACCGGGGACTTTGCGGGACACTTTACTCTCAGTGATGCCAGGGTGGCCCCTTCCTCTGCCAGGGGCCCGTTTTACGGGTCTGTCCACCACAGGTGTACTGGTAGGACTCTGGACCTGAGGAAGGGCTTCCATTTGCTCAGTCATGATACTTTTGTCATCATCTGCAGTGGAGAGGGATTACAAAACGGCTAGTTCTCCACATTCTTAGCTAGCTGGTGAGCTAGCATAGTACAAAAGACACATTAAGATTTACTATCATACAAACGTCATGGTGTAAGTTAGCTTTTTCTTTTATCTTTAGATATACACCAGGGAACAAATTCACAAAGGGATTGCACAACTTTTGTGTCCGCTTAATCTGCACAGATAAGAACAAAAGGAGCTGTGTGACAGATCAAGGGTGAAATGCACCTTTAAATGAGTTGCCAAGCAAACAATGTCTAGGTTATACTTTGATTTTTGCTCACATTTTAATTAATGTGCAAACATTGCTGGGTAGTGCAGAGTCCCTTCTCCTTTTACTGTTGAGTCAAAAGGTCAAGCATGATTTCTTTATTTGTCACTGAGCCTCTGCCCGTTTTTGTCGTTGAGCAGTGAAAGAGCAGTACCAACGCATTGGCCTCAGGCCCATGCATACTTTGCCCCTGGATAATTGCAATCACTTACATACAAAGGGTCTAACTGCACTCAGCTTCTAACAGTGATTTCAATATTATATCAAAAGCGCAATATATTTGGTGATAAGGACCTTGAGACCGGGCCGCAAACGATACCCAATCAGCAGGTGCAATCCACTCTTTGGGAATTCCTCCCTAAGTCTATTTTACAAGCCATTTTTATTTTTATTTGAACAAGTTCTGGGTACCTTGTGAGTCCATCCAGTTGCTGTCTGTATCAAGGATGGAGACGTCCATGGTTGTTTCATCGTAAGCTGCCTGACAGGTCTCTTCCATCTCCTGACCGATCTCAATGTCTTTCTCTTTCACCTCCATTTCCTCCGTCCTCTTCTCCCCCTCATTCTCTATTGGTTTCTTCTCTTTCTCATCACCTATGCCATCAAACCCAACAGGCTCTTCCGCTGATGGGTCTTCTGTGACAACTTCAATCACCTCTTCCATGCCTTCATCCCCTTTTATCTTTGTGTCTTCTACTTTACCATACCCCATCCCATCGCCTCCTTCACCTTCATCCAGTTGCTGTACATCATGGTCAGAACACGGAGACAAGTGAGAACTGTCTGTCGCGGGGTCTACATCTTCATCGCGTGCACTGTGACTCCATTCTGAGGTGGGATCTTCTTCCACCATCTGATCGCCTACGGTCAGACTCACCTTGATAAAACCCTCGGGCACTTTGGCTTCCTCTATGACCTCTTGAGGTTCTTCAGCCATCTCAATCTCACCCTCTTCATCTGCTTCTTCCTCTACTTGTGCTTGAGGTATGATGATGATTGGGGAGGATAATTGTGGCATTGGTGCGACTTCATCAGGAGTCACTTCCTGGAGCTGGATTTGGGCAACTTTCTCTGCTTTTGGCGTCTCTTTCATTTCTATATTGTCTAATCTTGTAGTTGTCTCATGCCCAGTTTCAATCTTCTTGTCATCTTTCTCTGTGCTATCTCCTAGAGACCGAGATGTTGGTGAAAATATATTCGTGTTTGTCCGTTCTGGTTCTTCCTTACATTCTTCTAACTCCTCATGCTCAGATTCTTGAAATTCTTTCCCTATCTCCTTCAGTTGATCAATTCCTGACTCTTGATCCTTCTCCACTTCGACCACTGGAACCACATCTTTTGCAGCCATGTCTCCAGCAACTTGGGTTTCTGAGGGTGTATCATCGTGGTTCTTGGGGGTGGTGGGAGTTCTGGGAACCTTGCTTTCAGTTTCCAGAGGAGTGAAAGTAAAGGAACTGTCTGGTGGGATGGGAGAAGCCTCTCTGGAGGGGTCTTTTTCAATGTCTACCTCAGGAATCGCTTGGTTCTTTATGTCCTCAGGCAGGCCAGTCTCCAATCGAAACTCCGTCAGTCGGTCTTTTGAAGAAATAATTGGGATTCTTAGGCGGTCAGGTTTTACTCCACTCGTCACGATCCTTTCAAGAATCAGGGTACTCTTTACTGGTGAACCTTTCTTTTCAATCACAGTTTTGGGAGAAATCTCAGGGATCATTTCTTGAAGGTCTTGTTGTTGAGTTTCTTTTTGAACAACTTCAAGTTCCTCCTCAATTCCAGTCTCTGTAGAAGGGAAGCTTTGGTGTGGAGAGTCCCCAGGATTGGTTACATCAGCAGGAGACGGCATTGGCCCCGAGTACTCATGGAAGACACAGTAGCCCAGGTCCTCTAGCTGGCTTTCCCCTCCCACCACCCTTGGGGTTTTATCTCCTAAGGCTAGCTTGGCCAAAGAACCCCCTACCAGAGCGGGTACAGACTTTCGCCTCATGTGGCCAAGCTCCCTCTTCTCTAATGATTGCCGTGGCAAGTCTCCAGCAAGGTCCAACATCTCAGAGAGGCTGCCTGAATGTTCAATACATGTGTGCTGATCAGAAGGCAAAGGTGTATCTTCTTTGGTGGGGGTATCTGCAGGGGATCCACTGGTAGGTGGGGTAACAATTGGAGGAGGAGGTTGACTTTCCAAAGATGGTGTTGAAGGGTTTACCTCAGATTCGTCAAAGCTTCCACCGATTGGACACAAGGTTGTGGACTTCTCTTCCTTTACTGTGTGACCCCCCGTGCCCCCGACAGTGATGTTCAGGGAGAGGCTTCTTTGTTCAAGCGACATCTTTTCAGGAATCGTTCTGTCTTTTTTATCCAGTTGTTCTCCGACGTTCTGCGCGATGCTTTTAGTTTCCTCACTTAACTTTTCCTCCGCTGCTGTGCTGAATTCGTAATAGCTCTGGCTTTGTGATGGAGCCTCTCTGTGGCTTTTTGAGGATGTCTCAAAATAGGTTTTCACTCCAGACACGTGTTCCACAAAAATATCTGATGTCGCTTTTAACTCTGTGCCAGGTTCTGGACTTGCCTCGACCGCTTCTTGCTTTTGGTCTCCTTCTTTATTGTCAGTCACTTGCATCTCATACGATCGATTGTCACTGCCACCATCTTGGTCCGAGGTATTTATCTGGTCAACCATCTCTTGTTTTTCCTCACTTTCAGACTTAGGGGCTCCTGATTCGCTGGGCAAGATATCTCCCTCTTTGTCCACCTCTGCCAGTAGAGGTTGTTTTAGTTCATTGTCTTTCAACTCGACCGGAAGGTCTCTCTGAGGAGCGTCTTCTTCCACTTCCTTTGTGTCTTTGCCCCCTTGCTCTGTTGAGGTTTCAAAGAGCAGTTTTTCTTCCACCGACGGAGTGGGAGATTCAGTCGAGGCGAGTTCTGCACATTCAGGGGTTGCTCGTTCAACTGCCAACTGCTTCTCATGTAGCGGCGCCCCTTGAGGTTCATCTTCTTTCCCAGCAGACTCACAAGACTCCTTACTGATACTTTCTTCCGGCTGGGCTGTGAGTTGCAAGGATACTGTACAACTGTGTGCTGAGTCATAAAAGCTAAACAGCTTAGCTTGATGCATCGACAAAAGCTAGCCAATACAGTCAAACTGAGGCCTTCTGCACATAGATACAGTAGCTCTCCATCAAGCAAAACACACAGCACAGTGTATTTTGCAGCAGGCCACAACAGCACAGGGGGGGGTCACATCACCTAAGATAGCTTGCAGAACTGGAATGAAGGAATGAGTTGCATGATGTTAGATGACCGGAAATAAAAGTACACATTGAATTCCTATTGCAATGTACAAGGAGAAATACAAAATGGTCAACCTGATGGCTCTTTTTTATATAACTAACTGTAAAAGTGTTCATTTTCTAATGCAACTACAAAAATACAGTGGATGTAAATGAAGCTTTATTTTGCTTGGATAATAAAATGCTATATTACATGAATTACAGATATATTGTTGATTTAATTAACCTTATAGATAAGAATGGTATGTGTCCAATGAGGGTGGATGTTATGCTTTAAGTGTGTCCTTAGTAACAATAGGAATACAAAATTATCTTTTGCCATTGGATGAAATGAAAACAACATTGAAATCAAATCAAAGCAAGTGATTTCCAACAATACATTCAGGACCTATTCATGAAGCACCCATACAGTACAGGTCGTGTACCTGGAAACACCTTCTTTCACACAATATTCCAACAAAACCCACATCAAAATATACACACAGTATAGACAGTGATATTTGCATTTGCAATGTAGCTGGCAATACACAAGTGCAACAAATGATCAACTATAATACGGTTGATCAGGGGTTGTAATTTGGCTCCGATGAGAAGCAAATGGTTATGTTTTGCGTGAAAAAGCACAAACTCAAAATGCTGTGTCACATTATTTTGCACACGGCAACTTCAGGTATTGAAGCAGAAGCTTAAGGAAGTAAGAGCAACAAAGCTGGTTGGCAGCAAAGCCCGAGCTATGTCACAGTTTATAAAGTAAAGCGGGAACATCTTCGGTACCCATTAGCAGAGCACAAGAGGATCATGCAAAAATAAGTAGTGGGTAGAAATTCACCCGCTTTCATAGAGGAAGGATTGCTCACACATACATTACACTCGCCCACCAAAAACCCATAAAAACCACACACACCTTTTTGTGACGGGATCTGTTCACTTTGATGACTTCCTCCATTGAGAACCTCAGGTGTCTGGGCTTGCTGGTAGCCCAACGCCTGGGGTTCTGATAAATAATCTGTCTGCTCTAAGGCTCCAGGCTGCTCATATGCCACCTCCTCCTGGTAACTGTGGGCCTCCTCTGGAGCCTCCTTTTCCTCCTCCTTTTCCTCCTGCTGCTGACTGACAACCTCTACTTTATCTTCTTTGAGCAGGGGGGGGTGGGGGGGGGGACACATAGATGAGATATGGAGGACAACAGTACTGCGGTTACATGGGGTTACTTTCAGCTCTGATGGAGATGCATGGGATGCAATTAACACAACTTCTGTTACATTTTTTTGCAATTAATTTAAGAGATTTATAATCATTGCAACACTAACAGTTTAATAAAAACGTTTTTATTAAGAATGTATCTCATTTTTTAGTACAGAAAACAAAATGACTGTTAGATTTGAGTAATATTGATACATAATTGTCCCTAAATGATGCAGTGGGACTACATTCTACTGTGTTGTGATTGCATACCACATGCAAAGAAAGGAAATGATGAGAAAACAGACTGCGCTGTTCTCTGAGCTGAAAGTCAATCTGTGATTTACTTGTTGAGAAAATCAATAGACACAATGAGCAAAGGAACAACAGAGGGGAAGGGGGAAGTGGAGTAGTGAGAAGAAGGGCTCCAGTGGCAGAGAATGTGCTTGTGTTGTTGAGTTTCTGAAGCCAATAACATACTGGCATATGTTAGGAAGCTAGTATTGAACTAAAATGGTGTACAGGAAGTGTGAAAGTGGACAGGACAATGTGGCACATGCTGCAGACTCCAGAAAGGTGATACACATAAAATGCATTGAACGCTAAAAACTAAGCGTACCAGAAGAAGAAGGAGGAGTTTTTTTCTAATCATGCAGAGAGGCTGCTCAAAACTTTCAAAACTGTGTCTTCTTTTCAAGATTGTTTTTACCACTTTCACCACCATTCACACTCTCACCCTGAGTGGTTCAAATAAGTGTGAGCGGGTGTACCTTGTGCCACGGGCCCAATCTGCTCAGCGGATGGAGAGGGGGGTGGGGAGGGAGGCAAATTGGCTGAGTCCTCCACTGCGAGGGGAAAGAGAGAGAAAGAGAGAGAGAGACGACACAAGACAAGACATGGATGGGAGGAAGGAAATGAAAGACCAATAACTGTGGTGACCTTATCGGGGTGTGTGTGTGTGGCCTCTCTTTGAATGTGGAACAATACCTGCTGTGTGTTTGATGAATGTAATTATCCTCTAGGATTTAGTTAGTGGCCAGTTTACTCAAAAGGCAAATGCACATGGAGGCATTTGAACTTACCTCAGATAGTGAAAATGTCAAAAAACATACACTGAGTCACATTATAGTTGCTCAAAATCCAAGTTCAAGCACAGCACATCTAAAGACATTGACAAACTTCATATTTAAGTTTAATTTATCTATCTATGTATCTATCTATCTATCATATCTATCTATATGGACCACTGCAATAGCAAGTGCCACACTGCTGCAGCAGATTGCTAATGTTCAGCGCTCATTCAAATGTGAAACACGTTCCATTTGGAAATTTACTGCCCTTGCTTGGCACCGTGAAACCAATCACATTTACCCATCTGGCAGTATGAGTAGGTAATCCAATCGATATCACTGAGCCAGTGTTGCATGCGCAGGCTCTCACACACACACACACTCTGTGTTCATACCTGTCGTTCCAGGGTGTGCAGCTGCCCCGCCGTTGAATCCGTTCTCCCTGTACGCAGAGCTGTAGGCCGAGAAGCCATTGTTGCCGTTCTCCTGGCCGTTGGAGGTCGAGTGCTCGTCCGGCTGCCGACCGTCTGCCATGCCTGCCTGATGGGACACCGGGCGGGGGACGGGTCACCTGGTGGAGTAGGTGGTGGGAGAAGGAAAGAGAAAGATGAGTATGAGATGTGTGGAAAGAAAGAGGATGGACACTGCATGGTGAAGTTCAAATATTGACCACCAGAGGGAGTGAGGTGCAACATTATTCCTCTAACGGCTGGTCTTTGTCTCAGTATCCATGTGCTCGGCCAAAAAAGGAAAGACTGCATATACAGTATATATTTTAGATTCGTTATTCTGTACGGTTATGGTTTGTTTGGTTTTAAAAATGCCTTCAAATTGTGTGTTGCTGCCTGTTCCCTAAGGTTTTCTGCATCCTAATTACTGAGTATTGACCTAATCGCATATGAAAAGGTTAGCTTCAATCCAACACACAACAATGAACAAACTAGTCCAATAAAAATCTAAATCAAAATGGGATATACACACATGTTAGAGGTGCACCGCAGCAAGCTGCTTGTGAGAGGGTGAAAAAAAGCCCTTTAACACACCCTGTATGTCCTCTCACCAACGATAAGGAGGTTGTTGCCATGGCAACCGGTACAGGTCCTATAGGGGTCCAGCAGATGGCTTTGACAGACTTGCCCTATTCATACAAAAAAGAAGTGCTCCACCTACACACGGCACTTCATCCAAGTGACAGTAGATATAGCAAACGCAGACATGCAACAAGCTCTTCCCAATTAAGTATGCACTAGTAAAGTACATTCTATTCAAGCATGCAACCTCATAAAAGCTTTTTTTCCCCTGAAGAGGAAGCCATAATGTTGCTTTTTAAACAACGTTAGCAGGGGGCCCTCCCCTGCCTTGCAGCCGGGCTAAATTGCATCATTATCATCATCTGCGGCTAATTTCATCATAACAAATGATCTCCGAGACTCCTTTCTTCCTCCATTGTGTTTTCTGATGTCCCTTTATTTCCATTAGACATGAGCTTTTTGTCTAGCTTAAGCTGATGTTATTACAATCTAACTTTCTCCTCTTTTCTCTTCCAGTTTTATCTCGTCCAGGTTTTGTTTTTTTCAGCCTGACTCTATTTCCGTCTTCCTCTCCTGACGAATCATATCCAGGTCACATTCATCAGTTTGAAAACATATGTATCAGAAATGTTTGAACAATAAAGTCAGAGGTTGCTAACATTTGTAGTTTGTCAATATCAAACCTAATTGTATCTCGATTGGGTTACATTTGATTACATGTACTCTACATATTTCTCCTTTTCCCGCTCTTTTAGCTTAGCTAACTAGTAGCACGTTACTTATTAGCATACAGACGTGACTGCACTATCAATCTTCTTATGGCAAGGAACTCTCTGCAAGAAGGCATATTTAACATTTCTAACTATTCTTTTAAAATGAAAAGATCTAACACAAGTTGTCCACCCTGCTAAGCAGAGAAATCTATGATAGATTTCTACATGACTTTTTCTCTGCAGCTTCTGAAAACCAAAGAGCCTTTGGGTGTATTGTATCCCACTCTCATTTGTCTGCCTCTCTCTTCCCTCTTCATTCCTTCCTCAGTCTCTCTCCTCTCCTCCCCTGCAGCGCTGCATGACGACAGGCTCTCAGTGATCGGGGCTAATGTCTGCTGCAGTGGGAAGAGACGAGCATGAGAGGGAGAAAAAAAGAAGAGAGGAGGAGAAAGACCTACTGACATTCAAAGATATTGGGCCGAACTGTCTGAGACTGAAAACCTCCGCCCAGGGCTCAGAGGAGTCTGGTCCCAGCTGTTGCTAAGGAAGAAAACGGGTGCGCTGACAGCCAGATTGTGCCGATGGTGGTTTTGAATTGCATTGACCCGCTTACAGCTGCTGTTTTGGCAATGTTACGCCACACTTGGCATTCACACATTGTCCCTTTCAAAATCGATTGGCATAAACCATGGCTGCTTACATAAATGTGTTGCTTTCTCATTTGATAAAAAGGTACTAAATTGACTTTCAATACAAAGTGGCTTAAGGAAAAACTGGCAGGATTGGTGACGATTTACAATATTGCATTCATGTGAATCAAAGCTAACATATTTCCTGTCCTGTGTGATCACAAAGCCAAGGTCAATGATATAAACCAAGTGAAATAACTTGTCGTTGCTGTACATGTATTGTCTTTTTGGTTACCATGTACGTTTTAGACCAGTGGATACCCAACAAAAAACCTTTAAATTATGTCTTTGATACATACATTTTATGTACAAATATCATGGATCACTAATCTGCTTCAGGGTACAATCTGTACAGCATACAACACCCTGCCCTTTTCTACCCTTGTTTAGAAAAGGAAAAACTCCACACACAAGCCATTTAACGGGGAAACAAGAATTAGAAGATATCTTAAGTGCCATATTCTTATTTACCACTTCTTGTAACATGAAATACTGAACTCATGGCAAATTGTTTATCTCCTGATGTCTACTTCGCCCACCCCTCAGGACCTTGTCATCCTCTTGTGGCTAACGTGATCCGACAATGGCTTTTCTGAAAGCTTCCTTCTGGGTGTGTACTAGTCTTATTGTGTTATGGTGGAAAGGATCATGTGAAAGAGGGGCATCCTTCCAAGTAAGATATTTTTCTCTACCGACGGAAAACCTCATAATTGTTTTGTTTTTCCCCCCAGAACAAATGCTTAATCATTCTATTTGAAGATACGGTACAACATAAATAACTAACTCACTCTCTAGGGGTCAGATCGCAATTTGTCTGCCACTATGGCGTCCCCCAGGGCTCAATTGTAGGTCCCATCTCTTTTCTCTATTTACATGCTCCCTCTGCACGACAACATATGAAATCTTAACATTCAGTTTGATTTCTATGAACACGACTCTACCTGTTGATGAAACCTAATGACCACACCCTATACACACACCTTTCATATTTACTTAGCAGGAATGTAAAATGTTGAAGTCTGAAACTTCCTCTTAGCTTAGTTACCGCAAATTGGCAAAAATTTGTCTTTTTTTCTGCAGTAAAAGACACCTTTTACACTAGAAATAAATGGCATTGCGTTACGGAATTCAGAAAATCCCACACCAATAAATCAAGGTTTATTCTATTATACTTTCAGAAAAGCTTGCAGTCAGTGTCTTGATCTTGAAAGGGTTAAATCAACAGCGCTGGGAGTCAGAGAAAGACTGTCAAATCCTATTACATCTTGGGATGGATGTGTCCAATTGAACATGCCAACATGAGACAAGGCAGAAGGTGTGGCAGCAGGCCTTGGGCTCGTCTCACTTCTCTTTTTTGTATCCTTTTGTCTTTCTGATGCCCCCTGCTGTACTGCGTTCTACCTTACAGCCCTAGCATCCCTCTTCTCTACCGACTCCACCCCGTCTCTAATCCGACCTCCCTCCCCCTCTCTGCCAACCGTACCCCAATCTGGGTCATTCATCACGCCTTCGCAGAGAGCCGCTCTCATCGGAATGTCACCATCCATTTAGGAGGGAGGAATCTCTGGCAGCTAGTCTCAGGCCAACCTGGCCTTAATCCTCTGTGAGAGCGCCCGGGTGTGTGTTTTTACTTTGTCTGTAAGTGTATGTGTTCTGTAGTTTAAGGTATTATTTTCGACATTCCTATCATCACTGGAATGGCTTACCATCCAGAGAAAACATTCTGTTTGTCACCTAAATCAATGTGTGTTGTAATAATGCATTATTGAATCATTTGCCTGAGTTACTCTTTCTCTCATGTCACCTAAGGGGACTTTTTTTAGAATCAAAGTGTTTTTTCTTAACTTCAAAGTGATTATCCACACAATATTATTGTCTCAATTATGAAGTTGGATTACAGCTCCAATGTTATCTCAACTAAGACTATGACATAATAAGATAGACTTGATTCAGCTTAGCCTGAATAAATGAAAAGTTAGAATAAAAGTCTGAATGTACTAAGCTTCATCAAAGGACTTCACCATTTAGATTAGTGTAATACGTAATACGTTGCAGTGGTTGATGGGTAACTGTCACACTAGACTCCATCCCTGGGGTGGACAGTGGGACACTCAAGGTTGCTGTGACCTGTAATCCACCCAGGATCCAGGGACTTCCTCCAGCAGACGGGCAGACTATGTTATGGTGACTCAGCAAGACATGGCGGGAATTGGCGGGTAATGAGCGCTGCCAGTGAAGTGTGAATGAACTGTGTATATGTTGAACAGCAGCATGACGAGCAAACGCACACACAAACACATGCCAGTGTGTAATAAGAGGGTGGAAACAGGCTGATTCCATCTCTTGCAAATTAAGAACCGTATTACATGCAGTAAAGGGGCACTACACTTTCTCTATATGTGACTGTAGATTTCAGCTTAGTTCACCAAAAGTTAGCATTAGATAACTATATACATTTCTTTGCCTTTACTCCTGAAATGTATAGAATTTTACTAAACATATTTATAAAAGGCAATTTTCCCAAATCAAGTTTCTTTACGTAGTGCGACTTAATAGGCTTGTTCTCAAATGTCTACAATTGATATTTTCTGATGCATGAGTATTTAGGAATCCTGCTTCAAGCGTTTAGAATATATATATAACCTACATTTTGTACCACTATGCCAGCATGATTAGGCTCTGTCACATCCAATCAGCTGTCAGCAAAACTGACTTTCTTACTCTGAACTTCTGGTGGTCTGTATCATTCCCATCAGACCCCTACTCAAAGAAAACAAACATTTGGTGATTCAATGACAATAAACGATGTGGTAAAAGTAAATAGTGCTTTTTTGAGCTTTTGGCAATCTGCATCAAATGTTGCTTGTGACATTTGTTGATGAATTGATTGGCATTATTGGATTTTAGATTTGTCTTAAAAAAACGGCTGTCTGCGAATTAGATTTTCCTCCTTCAAGACAGTTTGAAGATTGAATTTAAATCAAACTGACTGATTCTAACTCAGATGTATGTCCTCCTCGCTCCTTCTCTTTACTTTCAGCATCCATCTCATCGGAGGAGTAGATGCTTCCTGGCACCCATCGGCCCTACCCCACTATGATGTCATTGTTCCCATGGTGATGCGAGTCCGGGGGTGGGAGGGGCTGGGGACGGTCAGGAGAGGATGCTGGCTGCAGAGAGACGACTTTGACCACGTTATAGATCGTGAAATAGGCCAACAGATCCTCCAGGCGCTGTCCCGGGGGGCCCTTCCTAACTGCACGGACACAAATGGCATCGGAGCCATTTAAACCGTCGATACACTGAGAGCTGGTAGCTGGTGATGTCATTCCAGACCTTTAAGCTGGTGCTGATGGGGGAGGATTGTTCGTGTATCACCGTTTTCTTCTGATCAAAGATATAGCCGGACATTTCTACAAAGTAAATATAAAATACAAAAGCAACAACTGACCGAGCCATCTGCTGCATTTGCCAACAACTCTTCCCATTGTCTGTCTCTTCAGCAGTCAGTGGCCATGTTCACGCGTCCTTCATGGCTGAGTGCACTGTGATGACTGTTGACAGCCCACGCCCTACACACTGACACATACCTACACACACTCCCTTCCCAAATCAAGCCTTCCACGTGCGCAAACCCCTTAAAAACTCAACCGCACACACACGCAAACAAACACACCCTCTCATTGACGCCCCCGGACGCATCCACCGAGCAAAACCCACAACTGCCTGGTAGTAAACACATTGTTAACACGCGCTAAATATAGAAACACAAACTTCCCCGCCAAAATCTACATTTAGCAACTCAACTCTGTCATTTCCATGTTCTGCAGCGCAAAACATGGAGTTAAAGAAAATATCTACTCTGACCTCAATCCAAACAATCTCCTCTCTCCCTTCCACATGTTGAGCATAATTCCCCTTCTATTATACATCCATGGAAAGCCAAGCTAATCATCTGGCTGAGTGCAGCCACTTACATCTGACTCCCGGGGCCCCATGAGTCATGGGAAAAGTGAGTGTGAAAAGTCATGCGAGCGATATGAGTGGAAGTAGTGCATAGTATACCGTCTGGCAGCAGTCCAGACTTCTATGTTTTGGATTGTTCTTGGGGTTATCTAAGTGTGAGGTGACGTTCTACTTACTTGAAGAGCTGTCGTCACTGATGGATCAAACAGACGAGATGAAGCGGCTGCTCAGACCTGCATGAGAAAAGAGAATGTATGTTGAAGATGAAACTGCAGAACCTAAGATTTAACACAAGGGTTTAAGCTGAAACCAATTTAAGGCCTGGCATAACATTCAAAACCGTAAAACAGAAACTGGTTAATAACATGTCTTCATTAAGCTGTTTTTCTTAATGGCTATTTGCCGTAGATTTCTCCTAAAGTCTCCAAAAGTTGACATTTAATAATGCATATTTGTTTTACCCTTTTCCATGTCGTTTATTTTTCTGGCTTTTGACAGTATGTCCTGATTAATCAGAACGTTCTGTCTAAAAACCTTTTAAAATGGCAATAAACTGTAATCAATCATTTTTGAACCAGGTATAATTCAATGTTCAGATGTCTGCTTCGGAAATGTGTGCAAACGAGCCAGAAGTCATAAATACAAAAAATGTCAAGTGTGAAAGTTGAATTGTGATATATGTATAAGTTATGCATTTGATCTAGTGTCTCCTTATAATTCAGTGGGACAGTTTCAAGGTCTTCCTTCTGAATACTGACTATAATAGAATGACATTTGGGGTCTTTACACGAGACTATTCTAATCCCAGCTGTGTCTTTAACATGCCCAGCAGCTTAGCTCCGTCACCTGGAGTCTGTCAGCAACATTAACCCAGACGTCACTGTGGTCTCTAATTTAAGCTGCTACTGATGAGCTGTACACAACAACAACAACAACAACAACAACAACACTACACAAGATTATCTATTCAGTGTCCATGCATGGGAACTGCTGTGTTTTCACATCAAAGATCAAGCGCTTTGTGATTTTATTTTAATAATTACTAGCATGTTTTATATTGAAATTAATGGCATTATTACCATGAACAAATGTCATTCTCGTTTGCTTTAAATCTTTGAATTAATGTTGTTAAATACTCTAAGTGAAAATGGCGTAATATGTAAGACATTTGAAGTAAACAAAAGTCATTGCACGCAGTCTGAGATAAAAGAAGAACAAGGCAACTGCCGAGATAATAATAATCCCAAAATAAATCAAAGTGATGATTTATAAGTGATTACAAGTGACATCATGTCAACTGTGTGCTAACTAGACAGACTCCCCTCGTGAGCTGTTTTTGAGATTTGTCAAATTCTTGGATTGGCCCGTTGGGGCAGAGCCAGGGTATGAGTTAAGGCTTAAGTCAGCCATGGAGAAAGACAGATTTGCACGTTCACTCTGCTTTTTGGAGGAGCTAGAAAACACAGCATCCTGTTAACATTAAAACAGTGTGAAAGCACCGTCAGGGGGAAGGGCGGGGGTCCTGTCGCCCAAACAGGCAGTTGGACAGAAGGAGACAGAGGATGAAGTAGAGCTGAGCTGAGATTCTCCAAACAGGAAGGAGGTTGATTTATTAGAGGGGAGAGAGAGAGAGGCCTGGAGAGAAAAAGAGCTGGAAGCAGAAGAGGAATGACAAGTATTTCTACTAAAGGACCATTCTGTTGTTTTAAGCATTATTCTATTGGCCATCATTTCAGTAGTAATACATATGATACATGCATTTAACCTCCATATCAGTTTGGTAAACCTGTGGCTTTGTTCATTGACTTCCCATTTGAACTCACAGTTTAAAAGAGACATATTTTTTTTGTATTTGTATCTCTGTATGCTGTAAACCCATGCACTACGGTCATGATGTTCATGTTAACTCATGTCCATAATTTAATTTGGGTATTGTAAATGTAACTGAATACTTTTCTGCTCGTGCATTGTCATCATGATCAAATTATAATTTAAAAAAAATCCCCCATTATTTGATGATTTTCCTTGTTTTCGTGGTTTTGTGGTTCCGTGGTTCGTGACATTGACTGACTGCTTGTTTATTTTTTGCATCCAGGAAGAAAGTTTGATTACTAGAAAGAATGGGACATGAAGTTGGGGATCATAGAGGGAGGGAAAAAAATGTCTTATATGACAACGTTTTCTTTTTTGCTTATGTTATTTCAGAGCCTCCATACATTCCTTGTATAATTGGTTGGCAATGAAAACACATGCCCACTTTGTTCTAAAACGAGCACTAAAAACTGTTGACATTGTCTTTCAATTTGAAGGAATGACGAATTGGACTGAGACATGAAGGAAAAGACCACATAAATACATTTCTGTCGGCATATTACGAGAAAGAGGCACACGATGTACTCTCCTAGAGCAGCAGCGGTAAGGAGATAAAGGGAGTGAAAGTAGTGGAGAAAAACAGTAAGAGAAGTCACACAGGAAGTAAAGTCTCTTCAGGGGGAAGGCCGGACAGCTGGGGAAGCTTAGTCAGAAAAAGAAAAAGGATGAGCAGAGAAGGATATATAAAGTAGGTCCCGCCCATCCCAAAAATATCATGAGTGCGACACAAATAGAAGCATTGTACTCAAAGCCACTTTAAACTGTCGAAGTAAATGATCCCTTTCTCACACAGTAGTTAGCCTGCTTGTTATGAAACCATAACCTCACATCACACACAACTTCTTCCTCTTTCCTCAAAAAGTGCTCACATGTTTCCAATAAATTTAAAATTTAAAATTAAAGCATGTGATATAGGACACAAATTAACTGTAATTGAGGAATTATGATTTAATGGGGGAACGCTTAAAATAAATGTCTTCTTTTTGATCACAAATTACTGCATTTGTTACTTCACTATTAACTTGGGCATTATTCAATATGACAATTTATCGTTTTTCAAGGAAATATTTTCTAATACACAATAACATCCTCAATATTGGTAATAACAAGTATCAAGACCCATATTTTCGATAAACATGAGTTGTTCATAGAGATGTCCCGATCCGATCACGTGAACGGGGATCGGAGCCGATCACGTGATTTTCAAAAGATCGGAATCGGGAGGAAAAAAATCGGGGATCGTTTTTTTTTTTTTTTAAATCTTTTTTTTTTTTTTAAATACTTTTTTTTAAATTTTGTATTCAATGTTACAAAACAAAAATGACCATGTTCAAGTCTTAAAGTCATCCTGAGGCCTTAGTTTTGGTTTCAAATGACAGAACATCATGTATGTGTTGCTTCTTTGGGGCTTGTTTTCATAGACCTGGTTGCTTATTTCTCTCAAATCTGGCAACAGAGTGGGCAGGGCGCAGTGTCTAATTGTAGCAGTAAGCTAACGAGTACTGATAAGCTTTATTTTGTTTTGATCCAATGCTGCACAACTGAACTGATCCAATGCTGCTGTGAAAGAAAGAAGCTATATCCATGTTGGATAGAATATCCAATTTAAAT